ACCCAAGTCAGGAATGTGGTGGAGTTGTCTACACCTCATCATGAGATCAGCTTCAGAAATACCAAACTTTAGAGCTTGCTGTTGTTTTTCAAACTCACAGTGCAACCAGCACTTTGAGACCACACTGAGGATCACTCAAAGTTCCTCTACAAACTCCCTGGCTCCACCACACCATGCACAGAGCTGAGAGGGCTCCTTTGCAGGCAGGTGAGACCTTTGAACAGCACAAACTGCTGAGGTCAAAGGCAAAACTTCCAAAGCATCCTTTAAAAGCTGGTGTGCTGACTGGCATGCCCTTCCCTCAGCTGGGCCAGGCTGACTCCTGCTGACCACCATGAGCTGCTGCCTGCAGTCTGAGCAGCTCCTTTCTGAATGAGCCTGATGACAGCTGGGCCTCGTACCAGAGGAGCAAAGCTGTGAGCTGGCAAGAGCACCTTGGGCTTTGTAGAGAACATTTTGGGAAGTGTTTGCCACATGGCATATAACTAGTCTGAAGTATGAATGCATACATGGATGGACTGTGGAGTAGATCCAAGTGGATGTGACATTGAAGAAGGGATGCTGCAGTGCAGGGATGTTTTGGGCATGAGCCTGAAAAACCAACAGCCAAGAGGCTAACAGAGAGGTTGGTGTAACATGGAGTAGCCTCAAAAAGGGGTGAGGACATCAGTAGAAGGTGGTCATCACTGAAGACTTCACCAGAGTGAGTAGTTGCTTAATAAAATATGATTAAGAAATGAGCTTTTCAAAACTTGATTTGCAAAATAAGGTTGACTTTATGGAGGTTTTGTGGCAATTCAAGTGTGAGTTTGTGGTCTCTGTTGCACAAAGACAACAGTGGAGGGAGAGTCTGGTGGTCTCTGGTTGAGTGTCATAGTAGCTGAGATCCAAAGTCTGACTTGCATGGTGCAGAGGAGCTGGGATAACTTGCAGCCCCAGCACAGTACAGCAAATGATATTGGAAATTAAAGGTCAGAGAATTGATAGTAAGGCTTAAGAAAACAGCAATTAAGCTGCTAGGAAGAAAAGCTAAATTACCAGTAGTAGGAGTAGAGGGGGGGGGGAAAGAGGGTTATTGATCTAAATATCAAGTTGGCAGATACACAGAGTACAATATACAGGTTTTTTACACCTCTGGGCTTATTCAACCCCCACAATAAAAAATGCAGGCCTATAAAGATGGAATAAGAAGCAATCAATTAGGATGGCATTTGCTTCTTTCTGTGCTGCAGTTGGGCAGGCACATCACAATTAATGATTTATTAGGAGATTTTCATCTTTTTTTTTTTCACATTTTACACACATTGCTGCAACCAGACCACATTTGTTTATTAATTTTCTTGCTATTCAAGTATCTTTGTTAAATGTAATGCAGAAAAGGTAAACCTAATAAGTCTAGTAAGAGGACTGAGATGCCCTTATTCTTCTGCATTAATCCATAGCTAAAAGTCATGGAACACTATTTCTCCAGGCAATTCAGCCTTCATAAACTACTCCTGCCTGGAATAAATGTTGTGTAATCATTAGTGAATCTTGGAGACAAGAGAAAGATCCTGCAGACATTCATGTGAACAAATCTATACTTTCACAGCTTTTTAGCAAAACCACTTAGGAAAAAAAAAAAGTAAGAAGCCTGGAAAAGAGGAATTCCCTTTAGAAGGAAGGCTGAATAATTATCTGTGTGTTCATCCATCTCAATCCCACACCTTCCTAGGAGTGGCTGCAGTGAGCTAATTGGTTTGACTCAGCTGTGCATGGCTTCACGGCCCAGACTCCAGATTTATTGCACCAAGTCAAGTCATGGTGTGAATTCATCATTTGTCCCCCACATCAATCTCTTTCTCCTCCAGAAAGATATTTGTCTGCGTGTTTATGTGCAGTCAGGTACAAGTCAGACGAAAGACAGACTCTGGGATTAAACAATTTTAGTACCATCTGATGCAACCCGAAAGTCAGAATGAATTATTGCCTTTTCAGCAAGGTATAACTTCAGACAGGTCAGCTCCAGAGGAGTGGGAGAAGGACTTTTGCCAGCACAGGCTTTTATGGGAGGGAAACATAAAAGACACTACAGAATTTAAGGATTTAAGAATGTGCCAGTTTCAGAACAAATCTTTATGTGAGAAGGGAAGCAAAGTGTCTAACAATCAGCCATGGAAATCCTTGTGAATGGGCTTTAAAAATCACTCCAGAAATTAAGGACCTCAATGCAACAATTGAAAGTGAAGCTGAATGAAATACAGGGGAATGTGAGTAAATGCTACAGATATAGGTCAAGCACTGCATTATCAATCTTGTGTTTACTCCAGCAGCTCTTCCTTTGCCCATTGGTTTACCTTGTTTGAATAGATATGCTTCTCTTTATTTGAAAATCAATTGTAATCTTATGAAAGAGAACTTAGAGCAGAGGGAATGCTGGAAAGCAGCATAGTGAAAGATGTTCATTATCCTGAATTACTCCAGAGTAGGGAGGGAATGACATTAAAGAAGTGTGGGTAGCTTTGAGCTGCCATCCTTTCTCTAGCAGGTGTAATTTAATGTCATTACTTAATTTTATTAAAGGTAAAGACAATTGTGGACAATACACATTACAGCATTTTCCTGGAATAATGATAGTGGGGGAGTGTGAGAAGGAGGAAAGTCAGGCTCCCATTTGAATTCCCAGTAGCTGCTGATGTGTAGCTGATGAAAATTGTTCTGTTTCTCATGGCACATCTCTTCAAGACTTTCTTCTTACCCTGAATAGCTTTGGATGGCTCCTTTGATTCCAGTGAGGGTGCTCTGTTCTTATCAGAAAAATACTTTGCTTTATAAGCATAATAGGCAATATCCACCCTCAGTGTTGCTTAGGACTAATAATTTCCTAGTTATACCTAATAGATGTCAACAACAACTGGATGAGCTCCTGGGTTGCCCAGTATTTGCCAAGCATTGTGGTATTTACCCTAATGGAAGAGCTTTATAGGCTGTTTCAATCTCCCTCCAGGCTTTATATTGGCATGTGCTTTTGTATTTAAAATTTTTGATACACCTTGTATTTTAAAATATATCATGTGCTAAGCTTTATAGCTACAGGCTGAAAATGGATGTTGTGATGGCTGTTACTGAAGCTGCTGTAAAACCTGTGGTGATTGTGTGTGACTTTGCCATGTAATCCAAACTCATTGGCAGCACTTGGGTTATGACTTATTAAAAGTATTCAGCAGCCTGTAGGACTGACCCTCTTAAATGTCTCAAACACACCTGATGGCTAAGTCTTGATGAGTTAGTTCTGTCTGGTTCTGCAGGGAATAAGCCTAGTAGTGACAGACACACAAAAAAAACAGGTCCTGGGTCAAAGATTTGAGATGCTTTCACAAAGTGCTTAACTCCTTTGGAATTACAATATGATACCTTGTTGTCAGCAGTGCAGCCATGTCCTAGAAGGAAGAGACTGGGGGCTTGTCAGCTTGTCACTGCTGCCGTGCCATACAACATTAATTTAATGTAATGGGTGATAACTAGTGTGGATTTAGGAAGAGACGATCCTGTTTAACTAATCTCCTTCAGTTCTTTGCAGTGGGTTTCAGACAAGGTTGATAATAGAGTGTACATATGACTTAATCTAATGGATTTTTCAAGAGGCTTTTGATAAATTTCCATATGATATTTCCCCTGCTTAAGCTGTGCGCCGCAGAGACTCCAAATTGGGTGAGAGAATGGGTAAAGAACAAGTGAAATCATGGGAAATAAAGAGAAAAGAAGAGCTGTAGCGTGTACTGGAATTAGAATTATCCTGCAGCTTCCCACTGTTCTTCCCCACCACTCACCATGGCTGGAAAGAGATGCCATCTGCATTCACTAATGAAAACTTGTTTAGGACAGGTGCATAACAGAAAAGAGGGCAAAATGCCATTCTGGATACCACTAAAGGGCAAATTTAAATTTACATTAGCATACGGCAGAGTGAATATTTTTGCTGTCAGTGGTGAAATAATATATACTTAGTATAAGCATCCGTAACTGAAAGATGCCAATGGATGGGGATGGGTTAGGAAGGAAAACTGACTCTTGTGCTAACAAAGGAATGATTTATTATCATTTGCACAACCTGGCATTGGTGCACACCAAAGGCCAGATTTTAGAAGTGCTCTGCTCCTGCAGTTTGGGGCCAGGATTTCATTGCAGACTCCGAGCCAGCCGCTCCCGGCGTTTCCCCAGTGTTTAATTTGCCATATGTCAATCAGAGTGATGATTTGCAAGTGCTGCTAATAGGCGATTCTGAGAGATGAGGACAGTTGAAAATTTGGGAATGTGTCTTACTGGCAGCTTTTTGAGCCCCAAACACTGGAAGTATTCACAGGCCAAGATCCCTGAGCAGCCGTGCGATAAATCAGGGAGTGGAAAGCAGAAAAGAATGCAGCTAATGTGTCAGGATATGCCTGAACGAGACATGCTCCATGAAAATCAGTGCTAAATGAGAGAATTAAGCACCAGGAAAGGCTGTGGCAAAATCACAAGAAACACTTTAAATAATGAGACAAAATCAAATCAAGGGTGAGAAAGAAAGAAAATGAAGTAAAAATCACTGAAGAAGCAATAAAATGCCATCACTGAAATTTGAGTGAGGCAAAATACCTTGGGATAAAGGAATATAGTCATCCAAAAAAATTTAGACATTTTAGACTGCCATTTTCCCCTGCTGTTGGCAATTAACTCTCTGGTTGCAGTCACTGAATGAGAATATCAGGAACTTTTTCTCTTTGGTCCCTTGGAGCATTTGCTGAAGCTTGGGCAGTGACTGGGGGATAGCAGGTTTGTTCTCCTTTGGGTTGGAAGGTTTGAAAAAGTATTCAAAGATAAAAAAATAGGAAAACCTAAAGTGAGAAAGAGATGCCATGCTCATGGTCTTCTACTTGGGGCTGATTTCCCAGTTGGTGTGGAGATGTAGGGGAGAGGGAGATAGCCATGAGGACTGACAGAAAACTCCCACTGTGACTGCTCTTGTCTTTTATTTGCAGTATTCAGGAGAAGTTCCTGAGAACAGAGTGGAGGTTGTGGTGGCAAACTTGACTGTGATGGACCGGGACCAACCTCACTCTCCCAACTGGAATGCCATTTACCGCATCATCAGTGGGGACCCCTCCGGCCACTTCACCATCCGGACAGACCCTGTCACCAATGAGGGCATGGTGACTGTTGTGAAGGTAAGGAGAAGCCAAAGCAAATCTCTGTGCCACCCTTTCAGCTAGCTAAGACTACAAGGATTGCCAGGAGTCTGCAGTTGTTTCATGCCTCCTCTGACTGGGAACACCAATGTTCACATCTGTTGTGTGCTACCTCTCTCCATGCAGAAGTTCTGAATACCCTGGCTATAATCCTGGGTTTCCCAGCTCAGCCCAACCCACCATGAGCTTTCAAAAAGTCTCACGTGCTGAAGGGTCTTTTCTGCACCCAAGCCTAACCTCCACCTCCTGCTCCTCCTGAGCTCTTTGAGCGCTGTAAGAGGGAACAGACCTGGGCTGCATAGCCCTGCACTTCTTGAGCTGGAAAACTGCCTTGTTTTCTGTGAATCAGGGATACTATTTCACTTTAGGGCTTAGTTAAGTGATCCTCTGTGAAACCAGGTTGTGTAGGAGACATCTCAGGAGGAGTGAATTTTCTGGTAACAGAAGGAAAGGAGACTTGTCCCTCTGACTGAGTTGCTTAGCAGGAAAAACATTGGAGAAATTTTCCTTTTCCTAGTGTTAAGTGATAAACAGAGTGTGGGACAGATCTTCAGCTCAGGATAGCTCCACTCAAGTGAAAGCCACCCCACAAATTAGATCAGCAGAGGATATTGTCCAAAGACTCTGAGAAAGAAGACCATAAATACCCACCATCCCTTCTTCCCTCCACCCACTAGTAGACCTGGAATCCTCAAGATAGCTGTAGCAAGTATCAAATTGTGTTTCCTTCCTTGACTCCAAAGAACATGACTTTATCTTCATTCGAGTGTTCGCTTCCCTTTCAGTTTCTGAGGCCAGTAAATTCTTCTGCAGTCATTACACACAGCCAGAACACCACTGGATGCCTTCAGCATTCACTGAAGCTCTTCCCAGATAAGATGCCTGTGGGTGCTCCCTCTGACTACAAAAAATGTGAAGACATCACACAGAGGCTGTTGTGATGTGTAGGAGCTGCACAACACACACTGTGCACTGCACCTGGGAAGGATTAATACCTGCTGTGATGGATAAAGCCAGCTTCTTCTGATAAGTCTGGCCTTCTCTAACAAAAAAGTTTTAATCAACAGCTTAGGATGAAACACTAATGTTTAAAGATCAAGGTGATTTAAGAATAGCTCTGTGTTGGGGGAAAAAAAAGAGCCCTGCATCCTTCTTATTAGCTAAACAAGTTGCAGTCATTCTTAATGTGCACAGTTTGGGTCTTAGGAAAAATGACATCAGTGAAATGCCAATGAGGTTCTGCTGGTAGGAACGTGTGAGCTTGTGAGCCTGTCCTGTTCTCTGACCCTCAGGCTATGTGTGTGTGCCTGCAGATGCTCCTTCCCTGGAACTTCAAGGGAGACATCAGCTTACCTGCCAGATGGTATTTCAGCAGGGTCCTTTTATTTATCACTCTTTATTGCTCTGTAATGATGGTTGACAGCCTTACCTGGTGCAACATTACGGAACCTCTTCAAGCTTAGCAGTAGCTCTAGACACATGTGTATGTGGATGCATATATGTGTGTAAGTATACACATATCCATATATTTTCTGCTTTAAGCAGAACACAATCAACAAAGTGAAATGCAAGAATTTAACTTCCATTGTCATCAGCAGCCAGTCTGAAATTGAAATGCCAACATTTTCACTGCAAGCAAGGGAGGACCCCTTATTCTTAATCTAGCAAAGTGTCAGGACTGTAGTTTAAAGGCACATCAAAGAGAACAACAGGGGATTTGCATGATCATCACTGCTGCACAAGGACTTGTGCATAATGAACCATCCCTTATTCAGAACTTGCAGGCAAAAAGCAGGGCAGATTTGTCAAGACACCATTGATGCTGGTGTTGACTTTCCACTGCTGTGTAACCCACAGTGATCACAATGCAGAGAACCACATGGAAATCCGATCTTGTCAAGCTGAGTTCAGAGCTTGAAATTGCATTGGATGTCTTCATTATATCACCTCACCTGATCCTCATGGGCACCTAGAGTTTCCTACCCCTCTCAAGCCGGAAGGCTTTCTGGTGTATTTTCAGCAAGGAGAATGAATGAAATTGCTTGTGATTAAATTTTCATGGTGAAGAAGGGAAGACTCTTAGGATTCCACCTTCTCCTTTGAAATATTTTGTTCTCTGTTAATAAGTGAATATGCTTAAAGATTTGAGGGATGTATGCACGTCAGACTGGGTGGCCAGTCAGAGCTTGCTCTTTGTGGTGTGGGAGCAGTCTCTTGCTGGTTTGATCACTGATGTAGGTTGAAAACACAGGTAAAAAATTAAGACAAGTAATGAACAGACCCTGCATGGCTGGATTTTCATGTGGCTCTTTAAAGCTCCTTATACATAACTCCCCACTGCCTCAAGCCAAGGGCTTTGGATCTGGGCCATGGCAGTCACAGCAGCAGCACAGGGACAGGTGTTCTGTGAAGAATCCTACTGCTTAACCAGCACTTTGGGGGCCTGAAATGAGGGCCAGAAATGCTTCCAAACCAAGAAGCCCCTTAGAGTTCAGAAGATGCTCATGGTGGTCATTTTGCAGCTGCCCTCAGCAAAACCCCATCTGCAGCTTCAGTCTGATCACCAAAAGCATAACATTTTTCTTTTCTGTTCTTGCCTTTCGAAACCATTTCCATAACCATGCAAGACCCTAATCTTCAAAGAAAGCCTTGATCAAGGGGAGAGAGAAACTTCCCACTCAGATGAGACACTGCAGAGTCTGAAGACAATCTCCTGGAGCAGCAGTGGCTGCCCTGTGGCAGCCAGCTAAGTAAAATGTTATTAGAAACTCTGCATGGATCAGAGCTGTGAATTTATAATGGAGATGCTGCTGAAGCTTCAGTTATTATTTGCCTCAACAATAACATCAGGCAAATTTGTTCACTTGAGTTAAAAGTACCTTGAGAAAAGGAGAACACATGGAAAGCCCCCAGCAGCACTCTGCTGCATCCAGGCCAGAGATGCTGGTGAAGGAGGATGTGCAGCATCTCTATGGGGATACATCACAGCTGTTTGTGCCAGATCAGATGCTGAACATCCAACAAGAGGTATCTGCAAAAGTGCTGCTATTTAATTTCATGTCAAGTCCTTCTTGGACATGAAAATGAAAAGTAGGCAACAGTCCAACACATCCTTGTCCCAGATGTCCCTAAAGCCATGTTGGATGACCAATATGCAGCATTTTCAGTGACGTGCAGGGAGGTGGAAGAGGTTAGCACAGTGTGAAGAACACAGAGTGCTCTGTGCACTGTTATCCTCAGAGGGAGGCAGTTTTAGGGAGCAGAAGTATGAACTGGTCTGGTAGAAATTGCCTGTTATGGTGTGAAATACATTTTGCCTTAGGGCTGGACTGTGTCTGCTGCAAGGGGCTGCTGTCCCATGGGAGTCAGTAGCACAAACACTGCCAGGACAGCATGGGCTTTTTTTCAGCAAAATGTGTGAAATACAGGACTCAGATGGGCACAGAAGAGATGGAGTCAGATCAGCTCTCTCTTGCAGTCTGAAGTGTGGTGGGCACTAATACCACCAGGACAGCCTGTGAGATGGATGATCCCAGTCCAGCCCCAACTTCCACACAGCTTTTCTGCAACTCTGGTTTTGTTGCTCGCAGAAGATAGAGGAGAAAGCTGAGTGAACAGCTCTAGATGTTGGGGCAGGGTGAGGAGGGGAAACACCACACATCCTAGCAGAGATGTGTGTGGTCAGTATGTCCTGAGCATCATCAGCAGGCAGTTTCCACATCATTCCTCACACTCAGCCCTTCAGCTCCCTCTGAGCCCTGTGGGGAGGGAGGTGCAGAGTGGCTGTGGGCAGGTTACAAACAGGCCAGCCTTGAAAGAAAACAGCACAAAGAGTGAAGATTGGAGGAATATAAATGAGAAGGGTGTGAAAAGAAATTGAGGAAATGCATTAGTCAAATTGTTTCAAGGCCTTGAATAGTGTCTAAATGGGAACTTTTACCATGCATCAGTTTTGAATGCGGTACAAGTCCGTGAGTCAGCGCGGGTGGGTGTACTGGGAATCTTTATGCTTCCTTTTATTTATTAAATGTTGGCCCTGCCTGTCAGGAAACCATTTAGCAATGGGAACATTTGCACTTCAATCGAATAGAGATTCCACTGGTTTACCTTTTGCCCCTGAAATTTGTTTCTCTCGTGTAGCCTCCTATGATTTGATTTCTCTCCTGACAATACTGGGGTTTAAACAGGACGTGGCAGCCACATCTTGCTGATGTAAATCAGCCCAGCCCTGCCAAAGTCGGTGTAACTGCAGTGCTTTACACTGTGAGTTACACTGTGCAGACTCAGCTCTGGAGAAGGTATTAGGGAGAATGGTTGAGCCTCTAAATTTATAAATCACGGCAAAGCATTTTTTAACAAGCAGAGGTGTGATCCTGCATAACTCAAGCCTCCCTGGCAGATGATTAGCAACTTCCCTCATAATAATTAGTGGGATGGCTTAGAAATTATTATTATACTGGGTTTCAGTCAGTTGTGCCAGCAGAGGCTTTTCACTCTGGCTGGTTCCTGAGACGCATCATTTTCATGTGCGTGTTGAGAAGGGATCTGTGATCTCCCAACAGCAGAGCTCAGCTGTGGGAGTGTGCAGAGAATCTCAGGAGATCACGAGGCACCTTGCAGGAGACCAGAGCTCCCACTGGAAGGACCACCTGCTTAGCCAGACCAGGTGCTGTTCCTGGTAGTTCTAGGTTTGCCTTTAAACTCCTTTAAGAGGGAAAATGAAGATTGCTTCAGGCTCATGAGTCCACACAGACCATCCCAGTTACATATTCAGCAGTTTTCAGTGCTAATATTGCTGCTAAGTACCTGTCCCATCCCTCTTAACAGGCTCCACCTGTTGCATTAGAGCAGCCCAGGGTGGCTTTGTTCAGTCCATGCTCACAGGCAGGTTCTCTTTTGGAAACCACACAGCATTGGAATGAAACACAGGGTAAATCCTCCCTGCTGTTTGGAATTTTTATGTTGTGGGGCTTTTTAAACTATTTGACCCATAAAACACTGGAAGGCCAAATCCTCCACTGGATTGAAGCTGGTCTGGACTTACACCTTCAAAAGAACTGAGCTCAGGAGGAAACAGGATGAGGCAATGACTTTGAAATCATCTGCCTTCTAATCTCTCAGCTTTCAGCCAGAAGGTAGATTTTTTTTTTCTCTCTCTTTTTGGCTCTATACTTGCTTGTTTGTTTGTTCTAGGCAGTCGATTACGAGATGAACAGAGCTTTCATGCTGACAGTGATGGTATCAAACCAAGCTCCTCTGGCCAGTGGCATCCAGATGTCCTTCCAGTCAACAGCAGGAGTCACCATTTCAGTCACAGATGTCAACGAAGCACCATATTTCCCCACGAACCACAAGTTAATCAGGCTGGAGGAAGGAGTGCCCACAGGGACAGTCCTGACAACATTTTCAGCGGTGGATCCTGATCGCTTCATGCAGCAGGCAGTAAGGTGGGACACCAGGCAGCCAAGGGAGCTCCTGTACAAGTGGGGGATTCAACTGCAGGAGCTTGGAGAACCAAGCAGCTGAAAGCTAATTCAGAAACTAATGGATGTGATATGAATAGAATGCTTGGCAGGGACTGGCACCTGCAGTTGAGCACTTGCAGAGTATCCTGCAGTCTTGTAAACTTGCTATCCTCCTCACTCCAGGTATGCCAGACTCTGAGCATCTGGGTCTGGGAGGGCAGACAGAGTTAGATCCCATATTTCTGGCTTGCAGTGGGGCAGATCACACCTTCAGACAAAACAGGAGATGACAAGGAGTCCCTGCATTGTGACAGAGGTCAGGGCTGCATTGTACCCAGTTCTTTGTCTCTGCCTTGTCCAGGGTGTTCTGTCCTGTGTTGTTCATAAACACAGAGATTTGGAAAAAGGCAGCTTTGTTATTTCTGTTTTATAGGGAGAAACTGAGGCACAGAAAGGGCTAGGCCTGGATTTTCAAAGGGAATGGCTGAGATATTTAATCATGCCTTGTGTTGCTTGCGGAGGATTTAGGTTGAACCTTGCTTAAAAGCAGTGTGAGAGGAGCTGTCAGTCCATTCAGAGCAAGGCTGGTGTGGTTACACAAACTGCTGGACAGGTTTGAAGGTGTCATATTGCCTGAGCAGTCAAACCCCCATTCACAGGCCATTGCACTTGGTCTGTATCTCACTAATGCCAGTCCATACAAGACACCCCAGCAGCCCTTGCCTCCTCCCAGTAAGTGGGATTTGTTCTGACCTTCCCTATCCCTTCAGCTGCCAAACATAACCTTCTCCTTAGTTGCTTTCCCTATGTATGGGATTCAGCTGGCAAATTTTTAGCCATGTAAAAATCAGATGTTTGATCTAGGCAGTTTAAAATCACTTCAGTCCATGCTGTGACCAGGAGTTTTGCCCCACCTGGGCAGACTGGGGACTGAATCCATAGTCCAGGACCCCAACTCAGATGCCTTCCCACTGGGAAATAATTCTCAGAAAACTGTGTTTGAAAATGAGAGTCCTTGTGACACTTTCACAACTCTTTCAATTCCATCTGTGCAGACAGGAAATGCATTTCCAGCTCTTGGATACTTCTACATCCACAGAAATTCGTTTCTTCTTCACTCCCAGTCTGTAAGGACTGCAGTATTTTTGGCAAAGCTTGAATATACGACGTGACCACAGCTGAGGCCACTTAAACTTACATCAGTTGTGACATTTTGTGTCAGGAAGAGTTTGAAATATTTCACCTGGCACAGAGCTGTCTGGTCTAGAAAATGATAGTTTATTCACTGCCTCATCTTGTTGTCTTTAGACAGATATTGTGACTTTGGAGAAGAGAGACCATTCCAACTAACAAGCCCATTTTTCTAATGTTATTTTTGAAATATTGGCCTTTGAAGGGTCTTTATTTCCCTGATGTCTGTACCAAGGCTGGTTTTCAGAGGAGAGGACAGCTCATTCCTGATTGAGTACTCCCTCTGAGGTGGAGGTGGGTGATCTGTAATCCAAATGAGCACCTGCCATTCCTGTCATTGCACAGTGCATGTGTAGGGTCTTGTAAGACTTTCTGGGAGTATGAACAGCAAGTTGCTTGAACTGTTTCTTTCCTAGGGCTTCCAGAACACACATTTTGTGTGTGTGTACCAGCACTTCATTTTCAAACCCCAGTACAATCTCTCTCCCTTTGCATAGCCAATGCCCCAGCTTTGTAAGAAGCAGTGGGCCATTTTTTGGGTCCTGTCTTTATGGGCTATGCAAAGGAGATTATATTTTTTACTTCACAGTTGGCATTGGTGGGTTAGAAAAAAAAGATACCCAAAAAGCTAAGCCTACAGATCCATGATAAGCACTTTGCAGAGCTGATCCAGCTGCTAGAGCCTTGCATCCAATTTTCAGCCTCTCTCTAAACAGTCTTTGATGAAATAGAGTTTTAACAAACACAAGATAAGGAAGCAGGAGCATCTCCAGTTAAGCACAGCTTGGCATGGCCAATGTCACACCTCAAGTTATCCTCATTAGCCACAGAGACATTCACAAAGCCAGCTTTGAAACTGGATCCTGGTCATTTAGCAGAGAAAGGGCAGGAGCCTCACAGCAGTGATATAAAAATGAAATGAAAACATCCCAAAGAGTCTAGCTCCATGAAATGTAATTCTTTCTTTTGGCAGAGGCTTGTGCAACTGTGTGTTGCTTTCCTGCTCACATGGATTGACACAGCTCAAGTTTCCCTTTGAGTTTCTGCTTCAAACAGCCCATTTCTGGAAAGGGATATTCACCAGGAGCCAGTAGTGCTCTCACCTGCATATATAAAACTATCAGCAGGTCTGAGTTACCCATGAAATAAGCTCAGCTTTTGTTTGCTTCTTTCAGTAATTTATACTTTGGCCATTTATTAGCTTTCATTTGGGTCGTAATGGTCCATCTCAGTTCAAACTGTGCAAAACTGAGAGGTAGAAGTCAAAAGCAATGAATAAAATAAAAGCAAGGAAACAAGCGAGAAAGGTGAACAAAACACACTGATCTGGAGAACATAGAAAAAGTTTGCCAAAAAAAAAAACGTACTCACAACTAGTTGCACAGGACATGAACAGACATGGGCTGTGAGTTGACTGAGTAATTGGGAGTTGACTCTGCCATTGGGTCCTTCCAGCCCTGGGCACACTGGGGCTGCCAAGGGGTTTACTTGTTCCCAGATGGATAGGGTCATCTTCCCTGCTACTTCAGATGCAAGTAAAAATTCTTCACCCTTGGGTCCACGTCTTTATGCAGCTCTGAGTTCTGTTGCAGTGTCCCCAAGGTGTTGATTCGATTCTGATACAAATGAGTGACCTGAAAACTGCCTTTCTTCCAATGTGGTATTCCCAAACTGGGTTTTATTAGTGATAGGCAGAATACAAGAATATCCTTGACTTTAAAGCAAGACCTATTTTAGGAAGGACAAGATCAGGAGAAGGAGAGAGCAGGAGTCCATCCCCTACTTCAGGCCTATAAATGCAATGGTCATTGCAGACTCCATTTCTCCTTGGCTGCAGACTTCAGGCTCTGTCCATTCCTAGCAGCAGGAAGCTGGCATGTAAGTGGCACTTAGTGGAAAGAAAAGCCTTTCAAAAGAAAGAAATTGAATAATTGTAAAGGTCAAAACCCAGCTACTCAATTAGCATTGTGTTTGTCAACAAAACCAGTTATCCAAAGGTCCTTCGAATCATGGGTCAGGAGTCCAGACAAACTGTATTTCAAGCAATATTAAGGCTATGTCAGTGAAAAGACTGCCATGTATTTATTTCCTTTCTCTGTAGATACTCTAAGCTGTCAGATCCTGCAAACTGGCTGAACATTAATGCCACAAATGGTCAGATCACTACTGCTGCTGTCCTTGATCGAGAGTCAGACTACATTAAGAATAATGTCTACGAGGCCACATTCTTGGCGGCTGACAACGGTGAGCCCAGGCTTCACATTGTTCATGCTTCAATAAGACTCTAATGTGATGCATTAAGAGAAATGATGCCCTGACAGAGTTGTCAGTATAAGTTATCTTTTTTCCAGGTTTTTATGGTCAAAAATGTGAAAGTGGGACGGGAAATTGCTGGAGTAAATTAAATGTGCACCGTATACGGAGAGTGTTATTAAAGGAAAGGGAGGACAAATGGAAAATCGATTTGGGGAGTTCAGTGTAGCAGTGTAGCCTGGACTTAAAAAAATGCCAAAGGGATGTGCTCTCCAAGGGATGCCGAGCACACAGGTCCTGGTAATCGTCCCAAAGGTACTGATCAGTGTGTTCAGGAAACCTTCCATCAGGAAACCAGAAATAATTGCAGGGGATTGCAGGAGGGTATAAGCCCATCTGTTGAACTGTGGTGGCTCTCATGAAAGGTGTCTGTCTGTCACCAGAGCTGATCACTCTCTGGCCACTGCTGTTCCTGAAATGTGCAACCATCATCAGAGCATCTGCATGCTGGTGTGCTTTATTACCACAGCCACTGAGGCCAGTCAGATCTCTCGGAGAAGTCCTGTAAAGGCTTGCTCTTCTCTAGTTATTAAGGATCACTCAGAGCTTTCAGTCAAATTAGCACTGGGGACCTCAGTGCTGGCCTCAGTCAAGGGCAAGCAGTCCATTGCTGCTGCCCTGCATTTCTCTTCCTAATTCTGATTAGAAGGTGTTGGTGAATTTTGCTAACCATACCTAAATGTGGCCATGCTGGTATTTCATTCATCAGTTTCTCCTGCTGGAAAAGGCTCTGTCAAGGAAGGGCTCAGTAGTTTGGCAGGGCAAGAGGAGGGTCTTCCTCCCCCTCACCCACCCTTCCCTCTGCACTCACTCAAACCAGAGCCATCCTTCAGCAGCACAATTTAGACTGCTTGGCTGTGAGCACCCAAGTGTATTGCTCATATCCTGAAGGTGCTCTCAAAGCAGTGTTTGTGTTATATCTTGTCGTTCCTCAGGCTAGAGGTGCCATGGCCAGTTTGAGCAGATATGGTGGTGCTTTCAGGACTAATGAAAACTTCCTTCCTCTGGGGTTCCATCTTCACTTCAGTCATTGCATCCTGGGTCACAGGGATTAGGCAAACTCATGGAAGAATTTCAGTGCTGAGGAGCTGCACCAAAAAGCATGTTTTGCTCCTTCTTTGTGCTACAAATGGTAGGACTCTTCCCACAGCCTCATCCTGAGATTCACCCCCATGAAGGCAGCAGGGACAGCGAAATCCAAAATATCCTCAAAGGGGTCCAGTGGTGTTCATCTGCAAAAGCTGCAGGATAAAACAGGTCAAGTGAGTTGGCCAAGGCTGTTCACAAAAGCAGTGGCTGGACTTGAACCCAACAACCCAGTCCTCACCATCTGACCTTGCAAATCCTGGGCACTTAGTACAATGTGCTGTGGAGTTAACCCCTTTCCTTGGCTTTGGTGCTGATTCTGCAATGCATCAGCACCTCCACATCCATCATTCAGCAGCTCAGAAAGTGAGGACCTAGATAAATCTCCTTATTCTGAAAAATTAATCTATCACTGGTATATTGCAGCCATTAAAATGCACATAAAGCAACACCTTATTTAAAATTCTGTCTAGAGTGCTTAGGATAACAGCTAAGTTTCATCTAGGCTAATAGACTCTTTCCACATTTCTCCCAAGTTCCAGGTTCTCTGGCATCACGTACTCATCAAAGAAAGGCTTTGGGTCAAGGGTTTTGGTGAGGATTTTTCTTTCTTTCTTGAAGAAGCAGCAGCATCCTTTTTGCTTGAAGTTATTTCTGCTGTTCTCAGTACATGACAAAGAAGAAGTTTAGCCAAATACTCCTCGGACATGCTCTCTTTCTTTCCCTGGGCTACAGTGTGAAGATATTCACTTTAAGAAAAGTCTTGGCTGCAATGTAAAGAGGGTAAAAGGGGAATCCTAATCAACAGCGTAGTTTTAACGTGGTTTCCCAGGAGAGAGAATCTCTCAGATCACACTGTCTACACAAGTGTGGAGCCTGGCAGTATTTGAACCTTTCAGATAATTTCAGCCAATCTCACAGGGAAGCTGAGAACTGAAATGTATAATATTGCAACAAATTTCATGAAATAGGGAGCTGAGTAGGGGAGAGTGACTCCATGTGTAAAGGACAGAGGGTCCTGTTCCTTCCTCAATATCAGAGTATCCCATGGGAGCTCACCTTTGGGGCCCAATGCTGTAGGAAACCAGGCTGCACGTGTGTTTCTGCTTTTCTGCAGGCACTCAATGATGAGAAGGTGCTGGCACAGCTTCGTTTCTACCATGATTTGTCAGGACAGTGGCCCAAGTTCCTTAGAAATTTTTGCACAAGCAGAACAGGAATGACTCCTGCTTGCAGCTGAACATGAAAACCTTATACCTTGCTTTTTGCAGACACTAGCACTGTGAGAAAGGCAGTGATGGAGAATGCAACAGTTAAGTGTAGATGTAGAGGTTGTATGTTCCTATTTCTTTTGTCATTAGTATTTCAGCCTTAATTTCAGGGATCAAACCAGCTTCTCCACTGGAGTCAGTGATGCTACTGTAGTCCTCATCTCTTGAGCATAAAGTCCAAGGATTTTTCTTCGTACAGCAGTACTTGCTCTATCTACATCCTTGCTCTGTCCACATAAGACAGCTGGAATAATGTGAAATGTCCCATGGTTTGTAGTTTTTGGACATTTAAAAAGTTGTTTACTTTTCATTCCTCCCGAAACTGCTCCAGAACTGCACTCAAGAACACAAAGAGACAAAAATACCAGGATGCAGAGCCCAACAATACTCAGTGGGCCAACAAAACTGCATTTGTATGTGCAGCAATTGCAGGTTGTTTCAGCTACGTGCCAGTTAGTGCCTCTCAGGACTGCTGGTTTGGGTCCAGTCCATCTCAGAGGTTAGAATGGGTGCCTTGCTTTTATCCCAGAAGATATTCTGGGTAATGTGAAAGCAGCAAAAACACTTTGCTTGGTCCCAAAAGTAAGTTTTCGTGTTCAGCCTCAGCATCCTGATGGGCTGTCTCTCTCTCCAGAAGCTTTCAAAGCTGATCAAAAGACATTGTTTTAGAGGGAGACCTACCCCATGCTTACTAGATGAAAGGATGAGATCAGTGATTGAAGAGCTTGTGTAGGAACTATGAAAGAAGGATTTCCAGGACTCCCTCAGAATTTTCAAGGCTCCCTTGAGAAATGGAGCAGAAATGAGAAAGGAATGTAGGAAGGAAAGTCTGTAGAAGCAGAAGCATAGTGGGGAAGTGTTTTGTGTAGCTTTATGTCCAGCACTGGGAGGAAGAGCCAGGACTGAAAATATAAACTTTCAAAATAATTGCTGAGGCAACACTGCCTGAGAAGGGAGGCAGGAGGTGGGCAAGCCAACACAGAGCTGCCAGATAAATGTGTGGGGAGAGAAATGAAAAACACTGTGCCATTTCTGGGAAGGTTGTTCTGTCCTGCCAGGGCAGGTATTACTTTGTGGAAGTGGCCATTAGTCAGACAAATGTGACTGTCTGTCAAGAAGGGGCTGGAGGACCAGGACTGCTGTGCTGCAGCATCTCTGCTCATTGGGACAGACACAGAGAGGATGAAGAGCTGTATATTGGGACATGACACTGCTGCTGGGGGTTAGTGACATCACCCAATGTGTTTGGTGATGGTTGGCTCATACATAGGCCTCGAGCAAGGACCTTTCACCACTAAAACTGGGATATGGGATGTGCTGGAGAGTTGGACTGTCTTTGAAGCAGTGTAATGGTCTAGCAAATCCAAAAACTGGCTAGCAAGTGTACATGCAATGCTGACCAATGGATTACACTGCTTAGGTTTTTATCCTCTCCAAACCCTCTTCTTCCTCTTGTCAGCTGTCTTTCTAATGGTTTCTCATCTTCAAAATAGCCATTGCCAAGATTTGCAGGAGCAGCTTGGCATCACCTGCTTGTGGTTTTAGTTCGACTAAGGACATAGCCGTAGGCTACAGATCTGCAGAACTCAACCTCCATGTTCTGCAGAGTGAAAAACAGCAGCATTATAGGAGGCTTGGGGAAGTTTTAATAATACCTCGTAAAGCAAGGGACCATGAAAGTGCAGTATGTCCCTAATAAGGGCCAAGGAGGGAAGATGAAAATCCTGGTTTATTGATATTGGAAGGCTCAATGGGAGCTGCTTCATGGTGTGGTCAATCCTGCTGCTTCTCAAGTGATGGTCATAGGTCCATGTTTGACTCTGCCTCTCCCGTGCAGGTATCCCCCCTGCAAGTGGCACTGGCACTCTGCAGATCTACCTAATCGACATCAACGATAATGCTCCTGAGCTCCTGCCAAAGGAGGCACAGATCTGTGAAAAGCCAAACCTGAATGTCATCAACATAACAGCCGCGGACGCTGACATCGATCCAAACGTCGGGCCCTTCGTCTTCGAGCTGCCAAGTGTGCCATCTGCAGTGAGGAAGAACTGGACCATAACACGGCTGAATGGTAAATGGGGCAGGCAATCCTGAGGACATTTGGGCTCTGATTCACTAATGAGCCCACGTGCGGTTTCCAACTTCCAAACTTTCCTCCTTTTTTTTCCTCTGATTTTTATTTTTTAAACCACATTATGGCTGACATTATAGACAAGATAGTTAATCAGAAATGATTTGTATCAGACCTGCAGCATAACTCTAAGAGCCTTGGCACTTGGCTTTTTTTAATGTAGTTCATAATTATGAACAGTTATCAGGAGTGAACAGAGTATAAATCACCCATAATGGCCAAGGGGAAAAAAGCTATTATCAGTCTTCCTTATGTTCCTCCAGTGTAATTGTCATAAGCCACAATCAGGATCAATGTTCATTTCTCTGACCATAATTGCATAAAGGCAGCCTTTTAATTTACCATGGAACCAGGAGGGCTTAGGTAAGTGTGAAGATTACCAGTATGTGAAGGATTTTTATATTGCAGCGTGAAACCACAAATGGCCCTAATTGCTCTGCTTATTGGTAGTTACAGCAGCGGATGGAAAATATCATGAAGCTATGGGCTGGTTTTGGTTTCCAAACTGCTCCTTCTCACCGAGGGCTGGCACCCTCTGCTAGGTCAGGGGCTGTGGCTTATGCCCTCACAGCTTGGGGCTCAGTCCCACAACACTTGTATCACAATGGGTTTACCTGGCTGAGCCTGTCATCAACAGGCTTCCCAAAAATTCCCAAGGTGGGAAGGTGGGTGAGTATTGAGCCTGCACAGTGGCCAGAGGCATCCAAGCCACAGAGAGTTACTATCCATGTGTTACTATTTGCATTGGATGCTGTTTTGAACACATGCAAATGGATTTGCAAATGGCATCAAGGTAGGTTAGTGCAGCAATGAAAACACACAATATTTTGCAAAGCACAGGCTGATTGTTGGCCAAGAAGTCTGAAGCTCTTCTGCCCAGGTGTGTTGTTGATAGCCTCTTCTTCAGAACTCAGAATAGAGCTCTGTCAAAGGAGCCAGCACATGCATGGCTGAGAGGCTGCACCGGTGTCTGTCATCTGTCTGTCTTGCTCTCTCCAGGTGATTACGCCCAGCTCAGCTTACGAATCATGTACCTGGAAGCAGGTGTGTATGATGTGCCAATCATTGTGACAGACTCAGGAAACCCCCCCTTGTACAACACCTCTGTCATCAAGGTGAAGGTGTGTCCCTGCGATGAGAACGGCGACTGCACCACCATCGGGGCAGTGGCTGCTGCAGGGCTGGGCACAGGGGCCATCATTGCCATCTTGATCTGCATCATCATCTTACTGAGTAAGTACCAGAGGGGCTGCATAAAATCATAGAATGGTTTGGGTTGGGAAGGACCTTAAAGTTCATCTTGTCCCCCCCCCTGTCACGGGGGCACTTTCCATGAGAGTAGGTTGCTCCAAACCCCATCCAACCAGGCCTTGAACACTTCCAGGGATGGGACAGCCACAGCTTCTCTGAGCAAGCTGTGTCAGCACCTCACATCCTCACAGTCAAGAATTTCTTCCTAATATCTACTCTGAATCTACCTTCCTTCACATTTCCTAGCCTGTTCCTTGTTGTCCTGTTTCTATCCCTGGTATTTTTCAAGCTCCACACAGCAGACAGATCCCTGAGCTTTGGGCTGTGGGGATGGTTCACATATCTGCATTTGAACCTCCTTCACTGCAGCATCAGCAAAATGAGCCAGCACATACTCTGCCTGTGTTGGACTTGTCTTTCTAAGACTTCCAGTAACTTTACAAACATCCTTATACCTGACAGCATCTTGTAGGTAGTGAGTGTGCTAGGATTCTCCACATTTTGCAGGAAAAGGTTGAAGGGCTCATCCAAAATCCTGTGGCTGGCTATGAATATACTGGTTCCCAGTATAAGATGCAATGGTTATGAGTCTGGATAGTTCCTCACAGAGCTAGTGCATAACTGTGGTTTTCTGGTTGGTCCAAGGAAAAGAACAGTAGTTATTCTCATTCCTTGTAAAATGACAACAGATAGGAGAGTCATGGAGGATTGTGAGTGTTTTTAGAGGAAGATTCCCCAGTTTGTCAGGAGCACTGGAGGGTGGATTGCAGAGAAGGGTTGGCCATCCCTTTTGCCCAGCAGTGTTGTCAGACCTGAGCTTCCATGAGCATAACCAATAACTGTGTACACATTCTTGAAAATAAAAATTATATCATTATAACTTCAAGCAGGAGTTGGCACAGTTGGAATACATAAAACCAAGCTCTGAAATGAACAATGAGGTAAATACTCATCAAGAAACACAGGATGAATCCATGGGACTCCCATTAAAATTAATGGGAGTTATGGTTTTAAATCACATTTAATATTTGCTCCCAATGTGTTTAAGCAGAGAGCAGACAGGGCGACGTATGCTACGAATGTCACCTAATGGGGACATGATATGGTACATTAAGAGAATGGGTCATCCCTGGGCAAACATCCACCCTCCTGGGCCAGTGATGGGAATGTATTGGTGTATAATTGATCTGTTTATCAATCAGATAAATAAGCTGGAGAATCATAGAATCATAGAATCAACCAGGTTGGAAAAGACCTCCAAGATCATTGAGTCCAACCCTACCGTGGTCACTAGACCATGGCACTAAGTGCCACATCCAGTCTCAGCTTGAAAACCTCCAGGGATGGTGAATCCACCACCTCCCTGAAAGAGAGTAAGCAAGAAATCAGGTGTTTGTAGCCATGCAGACCTCCCTCTTCACCCAGCACATGTGAGCTGATGGAAGCATCGAGCCACAATGTGCAATTCCTGTCCTTTTCTGGGTGTGGAGTCCCAGCATCAAAATGTTTTGGCTGTTTCCTTCAGCAAGGGCATGTGTTGGTTTGGGCTGGAAGGGACCTTAAAGTTCATCTTGTTCCAACCCCCTGTCATGGAGGCACCTTCCACTAGACCAGGTTGCTCCAAGCCCTGTCCAACCAGGGGCTGTGCACTGCAGTCACACACCCAGCTGAAGATGTGGTGGTCATCAGCCCCATCACCTTCAGTGCCCTGGGGTGTGCAGGTCTGCAGGGCTCAAGGTTTCCACTGGAGCCACAGAGGTGATTAAACACAGGTCTCCTTTTTGCTGCTCTTGTATAAATCCAGTGCTAAAACGCGATTTAAAACAGTTGAAAATCCTATTGACTGAAATTAACTTCAGCTGAAGGACATTTGATTTAAGAGATTCCTCTTTCCATTTTCAGATACATTATCCCATTTTAAATTACGGTTTTTATTACAAAAGCTTATTTTTACATTCATTGTAATTCTAATTGACTTTTTTTTTATCTTCAAGAGCTGCAAAGCACTGTATCAGTGATGAAAAATGTAATTTGCAAGGAGCAGTTTTACAGTTACATCCTTCCAGTGTTTTGCTTCCTTTCTGTCTGTTTCGTATCATGACCTCTAAACAATAGGCTCAAAAAAAAGAAGATGTGGGATTTTTTTTTGTGTGCTATTTGTCCATTTTAGAGTCAGCAGGTCAAAGTTTAATGACTTTAAAAGGAAGAAGCAGCAAGGAGGCAGATCCAAGATTGGTCCTGTGCAGGAGGTTTCTGCCTTTCCCTTTGCTCAAAGGGGTTTTTTTTCTTCTTGCTATCTGATGTATTAGCTGCACAAATAACACATTTAGAAGAGCAATGCAGTAAAAAATTGTGAAGGGTGAAGACAATAGATTTCAAGGAAAACTACATGCAGAGTGAAAATGGGTCTAACAGCAGTAATAGCACTTCCCATTCTGCAGAGTGAATAAAAGGAAGGAGAGTGCACTACATCCACCATTGACGCTTTGAAGGTCTTTTTTTTTTTCCAAGGTAGCTGTAAAGGCGTTAATGGCACAGTTTTTTCCACAAGTGCATGAAAAAGTATCATTTGCAAAAAAAAAAAAAAAAAAAGGAAGTAAAAAGATAAACCTTGGTAGCCATTATAATATTGTCTTTGTGGACCAGTCAGGTATCTTGTTGTGAGAGACTTGAAAAGGAACAAGGAGAAAAGGACTTCAATAGTCTGCTAAATAGCTGAGGTTTTATATTGCAGATAAGAGTTACATTTTCTTTCCTTTTCTTTTTTTATTCCTTTGAATAGATCTGGGATAAGTGTTAAAGAAATGCTGAACTATCTGGAAACAATTCTGTTAGCTGGCAGGCAGGGATGGTCGCCAGTTGGCACACAATGGCAGTAATTAGCTGCCCAGTCCTCACTTCGCTCAATTCCTGTTGGGTACAAACACTTTGGTGCTGGGAGGAAGAACTCAGATCCTCCTACCACAGAGGGGCTACAGGCTGGGCTGTCCATCCCTGTCCCCTGGGTCTGGTCCCAGCTAAAACCCACAAACGTTGGGATCTCACATCCTGCCTGTGTTGGCTGCATTGGTTTGGGGGTTGAGGGTTGACCCAGGTGAAATGAACCTGGGCCAGATGTTTCATCTCCACTGTCTGTCCATCGCTCCCTTCTCCTGCAGATTGCTGCTGTTGCAGCTTGGTGTGAGGCTTGCATGGAGAATGGAGAGGAAAGCAGACACTGGGAGGTGTAAATGCATCAGCTCCCCAGGCTTAACTTCATTTTTGATTACATTATTTGCCACTGCTGAGTACAAGAATGAAAACGAATATCTTAACAGGTTCTTGAAGAAGACAAAGTCCAGCTGCCTTATGTCAGTGGAGACTTAAGTTCCCAGATCAACTTCCATGCAGTAATTCCCAGGGAGCACACAGCCCCTGGGACACGGGTGGCCCTTTGAAGGGTGAGGTTTTGGAGCAGTGAGCCAATGTTCCCTGTGGGTAAACTTGTTTAAGAAGGGAAAAATTTCTCGTGATTCAAGAACTGTTCATCTCTCCCTGTTACTGTACTGAGAGAGATTAGCCAAGCCTGGCATGCAAATGCTGATGCCTGAGGAGTTTGGCTGTGTGCTACCAGATTTGCTCTCTGTCATTTTGCAAAGCTAGCCCTGCTCTCTGAAAGGATTTCAGATGATCTGAGATCTGCTTTGCAGGTCAGTGGCCAAATGTGTGTGCTAATATCCTGACTAATGTGATCACGGAAGTCTAAAGAGCTTCCCTCGTGGACCAAGGAAGAATAGGAGGGAGTCCAAATTGAATTACAGGACCCTGTGTTGTGCAGCCTACCCAGCCCAGTCTTACTTGGCTAACTGCAGACAACAGCAAAGTGACTGTCACAGTCAGGGCTCATGACCTGAATGGGCTGAACCTGTGTCACACTGCTGGAACAGCTCCTTGTGCACATGTATTTGGTATCTGTACCCATTTCCTTCTCTGCAGCTTTCTTCCATTCATCTTTATTTTATGCCCCTGAATAAAATAAAGGTGGGAATCTATCCTGAAAATTCAGGATTTAGATCAAATATTTTCAGAAAGCTGCAGTTTTCACACTTTCTGTTTGCTTTTCCTTTGATTGTGTGTTTTACTCCTGATAAACATCAGCTCAATCAGCATCAGTGATGGATCTTAAAGAACTCTTAGAGAAATGTTTGCAGTGGAGGTCTGTCACAGTATTTACATCTCTCACTGATCTCTCCTTTAAAAATTAAAACATTCCATAGGATAACGTTTTATTGCTCGTACCAGAAGCCAGTGAGGTTCTCCATAGTGGATGAAGGCAGGTGAGGAGTTAGGACACTTGCAGCCTGGTCTTGTGGGAGGTCCCAACTGACCCAACTTCTTCCCCACTGCAGCCATGGTCCTGCTGTTCGTGGTGTGGATGAAGCGCCGGGAGAAGGAACGTCACACCAAGCAGCTCCTGATCGACCCCGAGGACGACGTCAGGGACAACATCCTGAAGTATGATGAAGAGGGAGGTGGAGAGGAAGACCAGGTGAGAAGAGCCCTTGGGTTGTGGCCAAGAAGCAGCTGTGCAATCTATACTCTCAAAAAGGCAGAAACCACATTGTTTTCACTGATATATATGCAAACAGTTGTGTTCCCCTTGTTTTACACCCAGACAGCTTTATTGGCTTCCCTGGTGTGGTGTGGGCATAGGTGAGAGCCAGAAGGTCCAGGAGATTTAGCATGTCACTGGGACACCCTCCCATGCAAGCAGGATCATGCCAGGAGGCCAATGCCACATGGATTGCTCTCCCCTCTGGGCAACTTCCTGGGGAAGGACTATAAATCAATCCATTGAGAGTCACGTTCTGTTATTTCAGTCATTAAAATTGTGTATTTTGCCATTCCCTATCAGAGACCTTCATAAAATCAGCCAGCAGCTACCTCACTCCCCAGCCCTGTGGCTACAGGCCTTGACTTGCTTGAGCCTTGAGCTTCTGTGGACTCTCCCTACATTTACTTAATCATCTCTAAAGTGCCTTTAATTTCTTTTAATTTCTGGATGTAGTTTTTGAGAAATGTCTAAACAGATTGGGGATTTTCTTTTTCACCACGAAGTGCACAGTGGCAAAGCTTTGCTGGGTGACAGAGCCCCGAGCCACAGGCTGCCTGAACACGTCAGCTTTTCTGTGGTGGTTCTTCTTACAGACACCAGTGCTGATGTTGCATGAAAACTTCCCTGGCCTGCACTCCTGGGATGTGCCTTTCCTCTGCTATGGATCTATTTCCTCTGCTAAAATAGCAAAGTTTGGTCACTCATATTTAAGTCACCTGTTTTTTACTCCTGCCCAACACAAGTAAAGAGCCTAGGACACTCTGAAATATGATGGGCATGCAAATTTTGTGACTGTACACCATGTAATGGCTTTATTCTTGCTTGTTGAGTTGGTTCAAGGTCAGGGTTGGGGCTGGTGCTTAAGGAGCCCACAAAACCACTGCAGCACATCCTGGTCCTGGTGACATCCAAAGAGAAACCTGTTGAGAGCTGCCTTGGCAAGCTGAGGCAGAGTCTTCACCCAAAACCTGAGAAGTTCTTATTCCACAGAAAAATCCTCACAATTAGCATTTCTTTTTTCTTGTCACTGTCAAGTTATTTATAAATATTGCTCCTGGAGATTCAATCATCCTCGTCTGAGCACAAGGATAGTTTTACTGGTAGAACAAAGTACTGTTAGAAGCATTCCAGCTAGCTGAAGTATCTGGTTTCAGGCAACTACACTGTAGGCTTAAATATTTTAGAAAGGATTCGTTAAAAATAACAGCAAAGGAAGAGCAGCAAAACACCATTACCTACATGAATACATTTTTAATGAAATATTACCTGGTTCTCATTCCGTGATAGAAACCTATTCTGCTGGGATTTTTCACAAGCAAAAAGAACATAATTACTTTGAAAGGCCCTACATGCATAAATGCAATACACATTTTAATGTTTTTACTTCTGTAGAAATGTAATTGCAATAATATGTCTACCAACACTGTGTCTCTCCATTATGCTGTGTTTCATTAAAAAGTTATGCAGACACCTATGCACATGCAAACAAAGGCCAAGGTTTTTATCCCAAATCTTAGATGCTGAGTGAAATATTCAGAAAATATTTGTAGACTTGATTTAACTTATAAGATACAGTCTTAGGAAGGCAATTTTATGAGCTGCACAGAGGTCAGGTTCTGCTCTAAGTTAGGTGCTACACATCCAGGGATAAGATTTGCCATCAAACTTCAACTGAAACAGAATTAGCCCCCTTGACTTGTTTGCACTCTGGGTGAGTAAGTGATCTGAATGAAAAGCTCTTGGTTTCACTTTCTGCCTTCCTATTTGTCACAGGATTATGATTTAAGCCAGCTCCAGCAGCCAGAGACCATGGATCACGTGCTGAACAAGACACCTGGAGTCAGAAGGGTGGATGAAAGACCTATTGGTGCTGAACCACAGTATCCTATAAGACCAGTAATCCCACATCCAGGGGATATTGGTGATTTTATTAATGAGGTATGTTCTGTAGGGTGTCCTTTGTCACATCTTAAAAGCTTGAGCAGCCAGCTAAAGTCAGGTTTCCTTGGCTGCAAGGACCAAGTGATGCTATTGCTCACACCACAAGTCTGATGTAAGCCAGGGGAAAGATTGGCATGAGCAAAGGGAGCAGGACTTGGCTTAATAAAGGCATTGAACCTGTAAAAAGTCAAAGTGGTAGTAAAAAGCTCGAGATTTCTGTCTTGTGGATGTCCCAAAGACCATGCTTTTCAGCACCCAGGCAGAATGAGCCATTTGTGGCTCCTGGACTTGTAATTATTTCAGCAGTCTGTGCTCTGTTTGGTGTAAAGCCTCAAAGAGTTTGCAGCACAGAGAGAGACACTCATCTCAGATCAGAGAGAGTTTCTTTATTTTATGTTAGATTACTGCTCCTTTATCTGCTTGTACAAATATCTGTCCGTTTGGTATTTCTTATCTCATTTTTAGTTTTGAGTGAGTGAGTGGTTACAAACCAATCAATGCGTTATTTCCTCCGAGACAAAGCACACCATCCGTTTCCTAAGTCAGAAAAATAAATGCTACAGCCATTTAATTCTATTATTACATGCATTTCCTGCTGTGCTTTTTCTCATTTTCATCATTAAAATCCTTTCTTCCTTTATTCCTGCCCATTCTTCACTCACATTTACACACATCCATGCACATGAAGACTCACACACGCCCTGGTTGCTGTTCAGAGCAGTGAAACAGCTCCATCTCCCCAGGCTGGGGGTTCTGAAGGTGGGAACGTGGAACATTTTGCTTTATTGCAGGTCTATTCCACCAGGCTTTTCCTGACTCTGGGCTGCAGCAAAGCAATTCTTTCTCCCCATATCCCGAGGCCATTTCCGTGGCCACCACGCTCAGCAGCAGCAGCAATGATTCCCAACCCTCTGCCCAGGATTTCACACCCCACATCTGTCCTAATTGCAGAATTTTGCTAGGAGTGCTTTTTTTTCCCACTTTTTGTTTTCCTAAAAAAATGAAAATTATCAGGCTTAAACTAATGGTTATTGGTAGGAGAGGAAGATGCTGTTCCTTCTTTCGTTGGCCAAGCTGGAAACCTCAACAAGCAATCCCAAAAAGGACATGCTAGCCAGAACAGAAAGCTTTCCAAATCTAGAGCTAGATTCTTGGAATAACTCCTCTCCCATTCAATCTGACTCTTTCTCAGAGGCAGTGGGAGTTACTGGGTTTTTCTGCTGGGGGCAGATGGAAGATCTCTACGCGGAGGTGCATCCTCATTTTCTCATCATCTTCTTAGTTTCGCTGCAGAGATCCCAAACATCCCACCAGCCCCGACACCTTTCCTTAGCACCATCCAACCCCCCTGGTAGGTATTAACACCTTGTGTTTGCCCCCCCAGGGCCTGCGTGCTGCAGACAATGACCCCACAGCTCCCCCATATGATTCCCTGCTTGTTTTTGACTACGAGGGCAGCGGCTCCACCGCAGGCTCCGTCAGCTCCCTCAACTCCTCCAGCTCCGGAGACCAGGACTACGACTACCTTAACGACTGGGGACCCAGGTTCAAGAAACTGGCAGACATGTACGGGGGAGGAGAGGAAGATTAAACTGACCTCATCTTATTTAAAAAAAAAAAAATTGACACAAAAAAAATTTGAAAAAAAAAAAACAAAAAGAAGAAAAAAGAATTTAGAAAACAAACAAACAAACCCACAGACGACAAGGTTAACAAAAAGAGCCGATGCAGGAGCAAGAACTGTACAGATGTGGCAGCTTTTTTAATTAATATCCCCTGCTGACTGTATTGTTATTTTTAGTGGTGTTATAGGAGGTTTCTTTTTTTTTTTCCTTGTTTTTTTCCTTTCTGGTTTTTTTCTTAGAATATTGAGCTGTCTCGCATGAACACTTGTCTCTGCTGCAGGTTTCTTTTTGTTGGTTTGGTTTTTTAATGTCAGCTGGGATATTGCTCGTTTACCTGCTTTATGACTAAAGAGAGTGAAAGGCACTCTGTCTTAACTTGAATTTCTTAGAACA